CCCTTCCCCCCCCCCCACTTTGTAACTTACTGAACAGTAATGTTTGCACCACTACTGGATCCCTCTGCTGGCCTAGCTTTTACCATCTGGTATTGTCACACTTCAATGTAAAGGATCTTGGCAACAACCAACCGTGTTATCCATGGAAATGCACAGAATACAACTGACACTCCTGAAATGCAGAATTACCTGTACTTTAGGGTTTTCCTCCTTATTTCACAGGAATTGAGAAAGTACAAGTGAGCATTTTTACTGAAAAGGGACCTCGCAAGTTGTTGCTTGCCCACCAGTAAAACTTATTTATCTTTATTATGTGAACAGTTCCTGTTTGTAGTGAATAAGACCATGTTGCTACACAAATGTCCAAATATAACTCATCTCCCATTCTTAAAAAACAAAGCAGCGGCTGCGTGCACATACGGCAGCCCTAGCACTACCTTTGCTCCGTAACATCCCCTGCAGCCAAACTGTACGTGCACTGGAGTTCTGTTTGTTTCCTTTTTCTATCATCTGCTTAATGTCATATTAAGAAATGAATGAGTGCAAGCCTAGTAATGGTGGATTGCAAAGATGCAATTCAGCCTGCATACCAGGAGGAGTGTCAAGCCCACAAGCAAAACACAAGTGGTACGAGCACAATAGGTGACAAGTATGAGCCAGAGCCCTTTGCATTCAAAAGAGCCTCCTCCCAGCTTGGTGTGGTTTCGGACATTATTCTGTGGAGCTGCAAAGAGAAAAGAGACAGAAAGTAAGTGGGTAAGGGCAGGGATCTGCTAAGAAAGGCTATCCAGCTGCAAAATGGATGCTGTACAAGAATCACTATATAATTTAAAAATTGTATTGAAAGTGATTTTTTTTTTTTTTTAAATTTGTTTTGACTGCTGGCAACTAAAGTGGTAGCTTCTAGTAAAAATAGTGTTCTGGAAAAAGGGGAATAGACTTATGCCTCGAGCCACTGCTTGTTATTGTCAGCATAAGCATACTGTATTGTCCATAAACACACAACATGCGTATTAAAGGAGGGAAAGTATTGCTAGAACCTGCTGTGCCATCCAATAAATTGCTATTAACTATCTCTTTTAGTATTAATAGCGTACCAGATACCCCATTGCTCAGTAAGATAGGAGAAAGGAAAGTGAGCTACTGCTGTTTTAAGCTGGTGTTGCTGCAGGGAAGTCATAGAATCATAGAACGTTTTGGGTTGGAACAGACCTTTAGAGGTCATCTAGTCCAACCCTGCAGTCAGTGCCTCCTGATCTGGAAGGCAGCACAAAGTAGGTACCACATCTCTTCTGGCCCTCACTTTGGTGTAAAATGCAGCAAGTTGATTTTTTTTTTTTTTTTTACAAAAAAGGAATTTCAAAACTTCCCACTGTAGAAATTTCTCCCCAACCAAGTTGTAATCCTGAATAATACAGGACGTTTTGTCTGTCCTCCCCTCCAGAAACATCAGGGTCCAGCAGGCTGGGGGAGACCCTGTGCCTGGTCCTCCGAGGATACTGGCTGGCTGGAGAACAGCAAGCAGCGCCGCAGAGAGGAGCACAATAGCCAGCGCAGGAATGTGACCGCATATGAGATACATTGGTTTCCCTGGCAGCCCCCCTTGGCCCTACCTCCTGCAGTGCCCTCTACTCAAATAGCTGTGGGATGACCATGCAGATGGGAAACCTTCTCTGTGCTGTCCTGGCCTTACCCCGACTGTTTGTTTGTTTTTCAGATATGGAGGCGAAAAGAGCAGAAGCCCTCTTCAATGACAGTAAGTGAGGGCTTTTTAAGCCTGGGAAATCTCTGACTGTTTTAATTAGCATTAATAGTCCCTGAGCACTTTTCCTGGCCCTTAAAAGCCTTATCTCATCCTCCTGTCTAATGAATGTGACCTTGTACTTCACATAGATGAGCCGTGTGTTTAGAAATCCTGCTCAGTCACAAGGACGCCTTTTTTATTAGTGTCCTCTGGAATACTTAGGAAGACTGGCATGAAAATAGTGGTGATGGGGTAAAAAACCCTCCTAGAAAAAGTCTGTACTCACTGCTGAGTTTCTTGGTCAATTCTTCGGCGGTGAGATGTTCCTTCTGTTAAAAAGATAAGCAGTTCTGTGAGAAAAGAGCAAATGATGAGAAAAGAGCAAGTGCTGAGGTATCTATAGAAATCCCCAGGGTCGGGCAGAGAGGAGACGCGCAGGTCCTGCTGCCCGAGTGCCTATGGCACACTTCTGCCTCCAGCAGTGCTGGCGTGGAAGGTGGTGGGGGCATCTTAGATGTAAACCCTGCCATCTAGGAAACAGAGGACTTAGCCAGTGAGGGCTGAGCACTGCAACGTTCAGGACACTTATTTATTTACCAGCCCGATCCAGTTGCTGTTGGTACCAGTGAGAGCTTTTACACTGTGTCTGCTTAATTGTGCATTTGGACATTAAGCCATTTTTCTATGAGAAAGCTAAGACGTTTTGGATGACTCCCAGGCGTATGTAGTAAAACTGAGGGAGCGAGGAGGACTTCCAATAAATAAAGGAACTTAATTGCTTGGGGTAGTTGACTGCTTTAATGTCAGGCACAGCAGCTAGCTGAAAGGCGTACTATAATGTGCTAAAGGCAGGAGAGTCCTTATAATGGATTTAAGTGTGTTTTATATTTGAGCAGATTATAGTTGGAAGCAATCTCTATTATAAATTGATTAAAATGTATTTAAATAGAATACTTCATCAAGTATTCTAATCCTGCCTGCACAGAGCAGACACCCTGTCCTCTGTCTCCCTGATGTAAAGTATTAGAACTGCACCTTGGAGGAGTGACTGCAGAATCTGTTTCATATATGCTCGTCCTGGATGCTGTAGCATAACAATTCATCTCCAGCTTGCTACCCGTTATTTTCCTACACGCCCATTAAGTGATGAGATTTACACCTGAACATGTACCAGCGTGTTGTTCAATTGGTGCTTTAAGGATGGCTGCCTAGCAGAGACCTCTAATGCAGCCTGCGAGTGAGAAGTGCCCCAAAAGCCGGTAGCATTGGGCACAAGAAGAAGAGTTTGGAATTATGGCTTTCTGTGTGCTCTCAGAAATTGGGATTATGTCACTTTCTTTAGTGTGCATTGGAAGGAAGGAAGGACCATAAGGAAATGTATAAAAGCTATATCAGCCTGTGATTATAATGAAAAAGTTCTGGATTTTGGAATGGCTAGTAGCACAAAATTGTTCCTTATTGAAACAGAAGGCAATATGATTGGTCTTCTCAAGCTGTTGCTGTAGGGGTTACATTGAGGTAGTTTGCTTTAGAGATGTTTTTAAGCTTTCAGAGAAGGACGTCGGCTTGTTTGGAGATTCAGTAGTCATAAAAAGCCATCTTTGCTTCCAAGTTGGGTTTCTTTTAACTCTGGGAAGGTTTGATCAGTTCCATATCAGCAGGTTGTCAAGAAATGGAAGGTTAAATAACATCACTTTTGGGGGCCGTTTTAGGTGCTGGTGTTCTGGGACACTGATGGAACTGTGAGTTTTTCCCTGTGTTTTGAACACTGACTGCTCAGGTGGTTGATAGGGTTGTGCAATTTTAGGACCAGCAGTAATGGCATATTCTCCAGCTTTCCTTTCATACAGAAAAGTTTTGGACAATTAGATTTAGATTTCACTGATTTCCTTCATTGTGGCTTTAAATCTCAGAACAGAGCAGACTCTACACTGAGCACATGAGCTTCTCAATATTGTATGACTTTTATTTGTTTAATTTTATGAACAGCTTTCAGTCTGCTGTGTTACTGCTGTTGCTTTTGACTAGGAGGTACTGTTAACATAACCTTGTGCAGATCCTAGCAGGAAGCAGCAGAGGTTACACTCTGTGCGGCTCCAGTGCTTCCGAGGACTTCCAAGGGCCCTGGGGCTGGCAGCTCTTCAAGTGACGTACTACCGATTTCTGCTTTGGTTCCCCTCTGCGTCACTGTCTGCGGGAGGCAGGCAGTGCAATGGTTTGGATTGTGTTGTCACTATGCAAATAATTCTTAGCTCTGTCTCTTTTTTCAATGAGTTGGGATAGTCCTGTCTTGTCAACTTTCCTAATGTCTAGCTGAAATCGGGGCCTGGATGAAAACTAGTGGGTCTTGGTCCAGGTAAGATGGATTTGATGCTGTTTGGATGGGAGAAGACAGCTGAAGCAGCTCTGCCCATTGAGGAAGTTTCTAAAGCTATGGGGGGAGCTTCAGCTGCTCCTGAATATCCTGAGTTTAGTGGCTGAAACCATGGATATTTTATTTTCTCTCTGGGTTTGGAGGATAATACTTTTCGTCATGGATGCACACTGTGCTAGAGGTATCCATGCCTTTGCCATCTCTGGCTTGGATTAGTGTGATGCTCTTTGCCTGAAGTGCTTCTCCAGGTCCACTTGCAGACTGCCATTTGTGCAATGTCCAGTTGCCTGTTGCCAGGTAACATCTTGCTGATGTAATCTGCATGCATGCATGGTAAAAACCCATGGCTTGGATCATTCCCATCTGAGCATTTGCCTTGTTTGTGTTTTATCCTAATGACAAATTACCTGGGACATTGAAGTTGGCAATCCCTGTATTTGGGAATTGTCCTGGGTGTATGGTGAAGGTTTTGATTCCTGATTTGGGCTGCTCACGCAGCTAAGCCTGAATGGTTGACCATCGTGGCTTTCCATAATAGTCAGTTGTGCATTTGGGCTTCTAACAGAATGGGTTGTGCATGAGGATCTCTGATCCAGGGGGCTGGTGGAAGGGATGTTTTCTTGTTGATGTTAATGCTCTTAGAGAACCTAGGTGGTGTGTGACTTTACATGTTTTCCACAGCCAGTGGCAGGCACATTTACTAAATGGAAGAATAGCTAATACAGTCTTTTCTCCTTTTTGACAGTCTGTGGGTTACGGCAGAATAGATCAGTCAAGTCAATGGCAAAATCATCATCATTGCGAATAGTCGGTGGATTGTCTTCTGCAGAGACCGGGGACTGGCCATGGCAAGCAAGTTTGCAGTACAATAATATCCATCGCTGTGGTGCAACACTCATCAGCAACACGTGGCTTGTATCTGCAGCTCACTGCTTCAGAGAGTAAGTTCCTGCCTTAGAGAGAACCTGCAGCAGAATGTGCCCCATGTGTATCAAGCTTTGTGGCTTTCCAGATTTGCACCACACCCCTGACCCTTTCCCAGGGAAGAATTTTTTGCCCTGGAGGAGAAAAGTCAGGGTTAAGCAGACCCATTGCTTGAATGGTTCAATGGGAAATTAAAGACTGACTCTTTGGAGCAGAACTGGCAATTGTATGAGTGGAAATCAATAGTCATTTGGCAAAGAAGCGCAGAAAAGGTCATGTGACTAAAACAACAGAATATTTGTTTCCTGTTGCGCTAAATGTTTCTAAAGGTGCTCCTTCGTGTTACAGCTAGGTTGCTGCCACTGCAGGCTGCTACCAGAAGTTATAATCCCACATTCCTACCCCTCCATTCAGCCATGCGCTCCCTGTGCATTTTTGTTTTGAGAGTGGCAATTGTGAAGCTGCAGGGCACGTTAGGTGGAACAGCTGATTGAACAGATTATTAACATGCAAAAAGAGTAACATAGATGAAGAGTTTTCTAGCAGAAGAGCTTTTTGATTTGATTGCACCCTGCAGCCACACAATGGGATCAGGGACAAGGAGCAGGGGAGGAGTATGAGACCATGGTTGAGGAGGGGATGAAGGATTGCCCTCTTCCAGCAGCAGCCTGCAATTACGTGGGACACGGTGTTAGGGAAAGTGATGGATGCCTTAAGAATCTTGTAGGGAGCTGGCTTGAAGAAGCTGTACAGTAGAGGTGCTCACCCAGTTTAAAGTCCCAAACACTTATATTTACAGCGAAATACTTACAGCACTCTTACCTCTTTCAGCATGAGTCACCCTCAGAAGTGGACTGCTACTTTTGGAGCTCTTTTGAAGCCACCAAGCTTGAAACGATCAGTCAAGACTATTATTATCCATGAAAAGTACCGCTACCCAGAACATGATTATGACATTGCACTTGTGCAGCTCTCTAAACGAGTTGAGTTTACAAGTAGCATACACCGCGTTTGTCTGCCTGAGCCATCTCAGTCTTTCCTGTACAATAGTTACGCAGTCATCACAGGCTGGGGAGCACTTACCAATGACGGTGAGTCCTGAGTCTACCAGGCGACCTGTATGTTACATGAACCAGCGGCTCTGGTCTACTACCAGATCAATACCACTTATGTAGCCCTGTGCTGTATGGCAGCAGGCCTAATGCTTTGTCTAGGTTTGTTTAATCATAAGCAGCAGTTTCTTGTTCTAAAATTAGACTGGACAAAGAGCTACAGTCCACTGAAGCAGAAAACAGGAAGAAGGCTGTTCTCTTTTTCAAGCCTTTCCATTTCATATTGTAAATTCTTAAGACAAGTAGTCCAGCCACGCATGTGTTTATATAGCACCTAAAAAATATTCTCCCAGCCCTAGCCAGAAGCTGCAGATACCTCTGTGGGCTTTCTGGTAAATGGGCAGAGTGAGCCGCAGATGGTGACTTACCCCAGCTCGCACTCTTAGCAGGCCACATTAAGAGTAGATTTTAGCAATGGAACCAAGGTGCCTTCATTTCGTATCATCTGCCCAAATTGCTAGGTAGCTGGTGTTGCATGGTATTATACGGAACATGTATAAAATACATGGTTTTACACTTAAGGCACTACGTACCATGCAATCGTTACTTCTGTCGTAATGGTGCAGTTCCTAAGTGAGACTATGAGTACGTACATTTTCCGTAAGGGCCTAACCTAGACAGATTAACAAGCAAACCCTCCGCATTAAACCAAGTCAAGCTGGTCCTCCATAAAAGAACATTAAATGCTCTTCCTATATCTTAACTACTGCAAAGTAATTCTGTTGATAAATACCCATACTATATTTTTCTTCAGGTCCAACTCCAAATGCTCTTCAGGAAGCAACAGTGAAACTTATCGACTCAAACACTTGCAACAGAAAAGAAGTGTACGATGGGGACATAACGCCCAGGATGTTGTGTGCGGGATACTTGGAAGGAGGAGTAGATGCTTGTCAGGTAGCTGAAAATTAGAAAGGAAAACTATTTTAATGCTGACTCCAGTATCTGGTTGACCAAATCTCAATTGATGGTGTATTAGTCCTTTAAATAGGCTCCATTCAAATAGGAATTGAGTTGTAAAATGAAATAGCATTTAGTACACATCATTTAGCACATAAAACTCATACTAAGAGAGCTAAATTAGAACAATATTCAGAATTTAAACCCTTCATGCCATGAAACTAAACTCTGATTCTGTAACTCAGAATTGCTGCTATGAGCCCATTTGCCTCTCATAATTTCTTGTGTGTGAAAACTAACTAACAATTTGCTTGCAAGGTGATATGACAGAGATACTAAATGCTGAAATACTAAATATGAGCTAAAAATTAAATGTCTTAAGTAGCCAAGACCAGACATCTGTACAGTTAGGAAGGAAGAACTTTAAGAATGTAGGAGTTAAGTTGCCAGCAAAAATGCACTATTGTTTATTGGAATTAAATTCTGGACTGGATCATTTCATAACAGATCTGTTATGATATGATCTTTGGTAACAGACTTGGGTTGGTTGAAGGAAAATGGTCTGAAACAAAGATAACCCTAAGGAAGCTGGGTGTGAATGGAATGGTAAGGATTACACGCATGGTGCAGGTTTGCACATGTTGCAAGGAAATGCTTATGTTCAAACAGAAATATTTCCATAATGATAACTTTTTAAAAGGTAACTTCTATTTATGTTATTTACAACGAATGCACTCCTAAGCGCTGGTTCATAACAGACCCTTTCCAGAATCCCAGTCCTACAGATTTATGCCCAAAGCAAAACTCCCTGCAGAATAAGTCTGGGAGGCTCAACTCTTCTGTTACTGTCTGGCTCAGCATTGAAGAGACCTGAACAGAAGAGTGCGACTACTGTTTATTTCAGTAAAGCATTTTGGTGGAAGATGGGGAATTTGGTCTGTTGTGTGAGGATTGCCTTTCAGCCTGTAAGGTTTCCAATTTAACTGTTCTTATCGTGTCACGCTGTTAACAGCGTCTGAATTCAGCCTTTGACAGTGGCTAACATCATAAGGAGATATTGTCTAATTAGAAGACCAAGTTCCTGATGAAATCCTTTTTAAAATGTTATTGCTCCAAGTGACTAGAAGAATTTGTTGAAAGGATAGTGGCTACCATAAATAAAAAAAAGTTCCTGTTGGCTTAGATTGCTGTATATATGTTTGTGTTTCCCTACTTTGTATGAGGAGGTGGGAAGCAGTGTTTCATAAAACAGAAGAGAAGTTTTTTTTTTTTTATTGTAATACTGCAGAGACAGGTCAGGAGGTTCAATGGCAAACAGGAAAAAGCCACAGACTTCTAACTCAAGTTTCAGAAATAGTCCGGGTTCTGCACAAATGGCAGCTCTTGAAATACTGCTTGCTTTCTTCTCTTATTGGACACACCCTCCTGTCTATGGAGAGAATAATATTTTCCCTTCTGATCAATTAAATATTTTTTTCCCCCCCTCCTCTTTCTCTAGGGGGACTCTGGGGGACCACTGGTTACTCCAGACACTAGACTGATGTGGTACCTCGTGGGAATAGTGAGCTGGGGAGACGAATGTGCCAAACCAAATAAACCTGGAGTTTACACACGAGTGACTTATTTCCGTGAGTGGATTACCTCAAGAACTGGCATCTAATCCCAAAATCAAAAATGGAGTTAACTACATAGGCTATGTGTAACTCATATTTGTCTGTAATTCTGAAAGGTTATTTTTTTAGTATATGTATTTCTGTGTAGTTTTGGTTGAAGCAACCTTTGTCCACAGCAAGCGCTATCTTTGCTGTAAGAGATCCTAACCCTTTGTGAATTTATACTGAACATATGAGATTGCCTGCCTCATCTTTGAGCCTTGAAACATTCTCACTTATCAGAAATTACAAACGGACTTCATTAAACTAACATTTAAAAGCTACCAATTTACCTGCTTTATGAATACAAACATTTTCCAGGAAAAAAAAAAAATTTTTTTTCTTCAGCCATGGCCAAGGTCTGAAGCTGAACCTTCTTCCTCCAGTGAAGCAAATGCTGTCACAGGTGTGTTTATAGCAAAGAAAACCCTTGATTATTATTCTTGCTAGAGACTATCATCTGCGCAGACTGCAGCCGAGACCCTTGATGGTCACCCTGCTCGGTGGCCTTGATAGCTAACAGTGGGTCAGCTAGGACTGAGGGCAGGTCCTAGCTAAGGAAAAGGAGGATTTCTGTGCAGTAAGTTGGAAGGGAAAAGAGAAAAGCTTGATGATGTTCTTTTGAAGCACATTTTTAACAGGAAATTTTTTTGTGGATTCTGTGAAGTTCAAGTTACTTGAAAGTGCTATTGTGGAAGTGCTTTATCACAATACCGTGCTGCTACCTCTGTACCAGTTGCCTTCTAGATCTACTCTGTTCAACTCGCAATATGCTTGAGATACAGAAACACAAGCTCTACCCAAATTTGTTTGTAATAAGTGTGTCCCCACAAACAACCTCCCTGGAAGGAAACCCAGCATTTAAATTTACGCTAAAGGAAAAATAAGTATTCACCTCAAATAAACTTTGTTCAAGAAATAGCGTGCTTTTCCATGGGCATGCCAGCCAGTGGAAACCATCTCACTGCAAAGAAAGCAATTAGTGATGCTGTCTTGCTTCGCTGATGGATTTGTCTCTGCCATGAATGAATATGATCTTGTCTTATGCAGCTGAAGAGTAATTTCATATTAAAGAACAGTCCTCAGAGTAAATGTAACCCTTATATACCGATTAAGCACTTTTCCTACCTCTGTGGAAGGGGTTCCAGTTGATGTGACTGTTACTGTCCCCTAGAGCCCAGGCCTTCCATATGAGGATCCAAAATGTCACTCCAGTGCTGCCTCCTGCAGTCTTTGAACAGCCACTGGACTGCTTAGGCTGTGAATGCAGGACTTGCAGGAGTCTGTACCAGATGTGAAAGAAGCTGCAAGCCCCACAGCTGAACCTACTACAGCTGAAAATTTCCCCAAAGCATCCTGCCTCCCCTTCTGCTCAGGACTGTGTCTCTCCGCAGCCTTCCTACTGTGCAAGCTCTCCAATAATCGGCATCCCTGGGAAGGAGATGCTTGGCATTGCTTGAAAACTCACAGTCCAAATTACAAGTCTACGTATGGATGGAAAAGCCTATGTCTAAGCCTCGGTGGTGGAGGAGGGGGTTGTCTTATTAGGCTCCTTCCAGTCTTTCTATGTATCTTTTGAATTTCAGTAAAAGACAAGATGCCTTATCTCAGAAAGAAATCTGTTGAAGGTTTTAGATTAGTTTTAGTTTTGAAATAGCAGGATCTTCATTTTGATTCTTGATGTCCATTGTAAAATGAAAGGGATCTTGGGATGGTTAGGAGCATAGTGAGATGCAGCAAATCCGTTTCCTTAATTTATTGATGAAGTTTGTAATTTATGCACTTTTGAGTTGCTGCTATTTTTTTCAACTAAGAATTTACTCTGGGCCAGGTTCAGTTGCAAAATAGAAACTTCATGGAGTTTTGGATTAGGTCACCTGGAAACGCTGTTTTATTTTAGTGTTCAGGTCCCCTTCTTTTGAAGGCATCCTTTGGAAACAAAATTATATCTTGTTTTTTGTGCCTCTTATTGCTTTGAAGGTGAAAATCCTTCCTTATAATCAGCTGATGAATTGCAGTTGAAAGTAACCAGTAGTTCACTTTAATAGATAGCTATGGCTTTGTTTTGCACTTAAATCTATCTTTTAGCCTGGCAAATGGAGGGACAAAAATGAGGAGGTGAGGCCTGGATTAGATACAACCCCTATAAACTGGTTCCTACCTCACACTGCAAGTGACGTGTATATAGAATACCTTTAAAATGAGAAAGGCAAGCCTTCATTTCACATTTTTTTGTGAGAGGCCAAACAGCCAAGAGGTGTGTGGGAGAATGTCTACCTTACTCAGGGAGTCCTGAGCCATCCAGATGCACTTTTCACAAATTTTTTAGCAAACTGCCTGGCCTGGGTTTGTCTTACACTCCATGTCAGTGTTTTATTTATGAAGACTCTGTTTGTTTTCTGCCCTAGAATAAAACAAAGAGAATATTGTGTGATTAAAGAGATTTTTAAAAACCTTTTATTATTGTTGATGTTCAGATTTAGCAAGGATTTAAATGATATAAAGGTAATATGTTTCATAGCATTAAATGTATTTAAAATCAGTTGCTCCTTTTTTGTCCTTCTTTTGCTTAGTAACAAGCTGGCTAAAAATAGTATATCATGCAAAATAGATTAATCTCCCTTATTTTGATATAAGAGTATTCTGAAACTGCGGCACGCTCTGTTCGTTCCCTATCCTAGGAATTGTTTGTCTTTAACAGTGGTTGGAGCTTTACAGGTATTTCATCAAAGACAAGGTGGGACATCTGCTTTTCTAAAATACTCAAAGGTGAATTTCAGTTAAGCTAGTGCTATGCAAATTTGAGAATGGATCTGAAGCTTTATCCAAAAATCTACCACCTTGCTTCTGGCCTTGGAAAAACTTATCCTTGTAACGT